GACTAACCGTACTGACCAGACGAGAGACTAACGTGAAGTCACGCAATGATCCAGCGTCGGAGAGAGCTCCACCACAATCTTAAGTAGCTCCTCCTACGGGGCTTCGTCAGCTGTGTGATGGTTTTCAGGTGTGGCCAACTACCTGGCAGGGCCACACCTACCAGGCCTGAAGGCGCCTGTAAACAGGTGCTCCCAGACACACCCAGACTCACACACATACCTGCAAGCAGGGAGAACGAGGGACAGCAACACCAAAAATACATATAATGTAATACAAGTCCATAACTGCTCAGGGACCCCAGGTCGCTCAGATCCAGGTCCCTGACAATCACGGTACCAGGCTGCAATTCACTGAGCTCCTGAATTCAGTGATTTACATGGGTGGGTGAATACTTTTGGCCATATTGTGTGTTTATCAAGAATGAGGAACACTGATGGCACAGATGCCAAACTAAAATGATACTTAATACTTTATATAATTCTACACATGTCAATATCAAGCATAAAAAATAAGACGTGCCTTTTTTGTAGCATTAAGTATTGGCATGATTAGCAGTAAACTGCATGTTGCAGTACTTTTTATACTTTGTAATAAATATTTATTAACAATCCAACCACTTTTTTGTATGCACATCAGCTCAGAACCCAGTATATGTTGGTATGCAGACAATGATTGACCCGCTAACCTTTGACCTGTTCTAGTGCTTGAGCCACAGCCACCCCAAATAAACGGCACGAAACCAAAGGTCCATGTGAAGGAAACTCTTAGAAAAGCAGAAGTTGTGAATGTGAAGCGAGCCTCGGCTCACACTGTAAGCCTGGATGCAGTCTTACTGTGGGCGAACGGCATCATCCCATCAGAGAACTCTCAGGAGCTGCAGGAGCAGGTAGAGCAAACTTGTCTCTGCTGCAGAAACATGGATTATAGATCAGCTTATCACATCCTGGCTCGCCTCACAAAGAACCACACCTCTCCTTTCAATTGTCTTAGGTGTTGCTCACATCTGTGTGACTATAGCAGATGCTTGTTTTGGTCCAGGAAACGATCAGATTGGTACTTGGGGGAATGAACAACATATTTTGGGT